TCGGCTACAAAAACTAGGGCGCCCCAAGGACAAGCAGCGCCCAAGAGAACCCACGAATTGCGCAACATAAGCCTTCGAAGGAGGTCTCACGTCAGTATCCGAGATGGGCAACGGTTTAGCCTTACCAAGTCTGTGAAACGACAGCCTACAATTGCCCGTGACTGGTCTCCTATCCGCAAGAGATTCGTTGCATCTGTTGCATGCTTGAGCACTGCCTTAATTGGTGTCTTGGTTGGGATTTATGCCGGTCTAGTTCCATCAATGCAATACTATATTGCAGACTTCCACCACTACACAATCCTCGGCAACGTCGGAATGTATCTAGGAATGGCTCTTTCGAATTTCCTGTGTTGGCCGCTGCCGTTGCTACATGGCCGCAAGCCATACATCGTGTGCAGCCTTTGTGTAGCCATGCCGCTACTTTTCCCCCAGGCCATTGCAGTTAGTGTTCCCAGGTCTCCATACACAAGTGCTTGGAGATGGGCACTTCTTCTTCCTAGGGCCCTCATGGGCTGTGCTTTGGGTTTCGCCAATATGAATTTCCATTCAATACTGACCGACCTCTTCGGCGCATCTTTGATGAGCAGCAACCCGCACCAGGAAGTAGTTGACCGTTACGACGTAAGAAGGCATGGGGGTGGTCTTGGTGTATGGCTCGGTATCTGGACATGGTGCTTCATCGGCTCGCTGGGCATCGGCTTTCTAGTCGGTGCTATAGTCATTGACAATCTACAGCCATCGTGGGGGCTCTACATTAGCATCATGCTCATTGCAGTTGTCCTTATTCTTAATGTCATAAGCCCCGAGGTCCGGCGATCGGCTTGGAGACGTTCTGTAGCCGAAGTTAGGACTGGTTCAGCAGTATCCCGAAGGGTAGCTCGGGGTGAGATCATGATGCATCGAGTCAAGGACGGACCAAAATGGTGGGGCCAAGAAATGTATCACGGAGTAGCCCTGTCTTTCGAGATGCTCCGCCAACCTGGTTTCGTCGTAATGGCAATATACTCAGCGTATCTGTATGCTCAGGTCGTTCTGGTCATTATCGTAAGTTAGTCTTATTTCTCATAAACTTCCGTCCTAGGCTGACACCCATAGCTTCTGGGATCTCTAACTTCCAGATACTACCGGTTTAAATCCACATATGTAGGCACCGCGGTATCATCTGTCGCAATCGGTGCACTTTTAGCAGTGCCGTTCCAGAAGGCGAATCTCTTCTCTCGATCACGTTCTACGGGCCCGCTGACGAACAGCATGACTTTTGATAAAAGATTGACGTGGACCTCCCATCTCGTTCGACGAGCTATCTTTGTCACTGTACTCCCTATTGCCGGCATTCTATACACGATCGTCTCCTCGGGTCCTCCAGTACATGTTGTCTTCCCTTGCATATTCGCTTGCATGATTGGGTTCTTGTCATGTCTTGCCATAGCCGAATGCAATGGCATGATGATGGAGGCATAGGATACCTCTGATCTTCAACCAGGCATGACTGGTCGCTCCAGATCAGGAAAGGGTAACATGAAACGAACCAATTACTCATCTTTCCCTCGAGTTACTGCCGGGTGGAACATCATCCACAGTGTTGGCTTCATCTCAGCTGCGGCAGCGACTTGGGTTGGCGGCATAGCTACGCGAAGTCTAGGACAGAGGGCTGCAACAGGAGTTATAGCATCTGCCCTATTTTTACACTCGATGCTACTTCTGGGTGTATTTTCTCGGTTCAGACACGTCCAAATCATCCCCAATTCGAAAAGTCTCGAGATGGACAAGTGGACAAACGAGCGGAGAGACAGCCTCCGCCGTCGCGCTTCTGCAATCGCAACCGCCAAAGCCAACGGCCTTCAAGATGTTTCCGAGATTCCCGAGGACGACGTAGGCTAGAGACCCATCATTCTTGGCAACCCATCGGAGAAATTTCGTCGCATGAATATCCTTGAGCTAGGTTCTTTGACTCGATGGAGCGAGATCCGCAAGAAAAACCGTCTAATCGACGAAGGAGTTCACCTTAACCGACAGACAGTTGATTTAGCTCGTGACGAGATTGGGCGTCGAGGTAACCATGGTGCAGAGAGGTTTGGGGAAATTGTCCGCAAAGTGAGTAAAAGGAGTATGAGGAGCAAACGTAGCCGCGACAGTGACGAAGATGACATCACGCGAGTTGAACTCCAGGACATTGGCCCACTCGGCCCACCAGGAGCCGGTCTTGAACACCACCATACCGAATTACCTCCTGAAGTCTATTTTGAGCGCGAATGCATCATGGGTCAGACTTTGCCGGAGGAAGCGGAAGAAGTCCCATCCACAGACAGTGGATCGGATGATGGGTACGACTTAGGTCATTTGCAAGAGCATTCATCTCATATGACTTCCAAGGTTCAACCCTACGCTGGCTTCAGGAAACAGAGCCTACGTGGCGCTAGAATTAACACAGATGATTATGTGATCGATATGGAACTTGCTCGGGGTGAGCATGCCTCTCATTCGGAGGCAAAGGTTAAACCCGCCGACCCGCGTGGTTCGGGACATCGGGAACAGCACGGTGCGCATATGACAAGTAAGGTCAAGCCGGCAGACATGGAATTCAAGGATCGGGCGCAGGAGCACAGTGCTCACATGGATGAGAGCAAAGTTAAGCCGGTAAAGGTGGATTTCGAGGATGTTGACTTAGGTAGCAAATCCGATCGCAGAGATTCGAAAGCATTGAAGCAAGACTGAAGTAGATCATACCTAAGGAAGTCGTTAACTATTCCGAATAAGAAGTAGAGAATGAAAACACCTATAGGCATACAATCATACTAAATACCAACCTATAATCAGCCTTAAGAATGCCAACGCTTATAATTGCAACATAGTGAATGGAGACCCTCGCAGCCTCGTAAGAAAAAGTTAAAGAAGTTCATTAGAAACTGCTAGCGATCCTGTGGGAATACCCCCATTGCTCAATATACATGATTTGATATGAATATAGATGCAAAATATGAGACAAAAGGAACGCCTAAACTGCATACAAGGGTATAGTTATGTAGTTAAAACAAATATGTATCAATAAAGCTATTGGAAACTGTGCTTTTTAAAATCAAATTCAGGGTCTTCGATCTCATTCCTATCAACACTGCACAAATGTAAGCAACAAAGCGCATAATTGGCTCTTCGGGCATTACGATGCATACGCCTGGCGCACTTGCTAGATCGGGTCTAGCAACGAACACTCATCCGACTTTCATTCACAACACCCTATCATACCATCTACCCAGCTAAGGCGATCATAGCAACGACGCCACTATGAAGCTCTACGCCATCGGAGATCTCCACCTCAGCTATGAGTACAACCGGAAGGCACTCGAGGAGCTAGAGCCGCACCCGGATGATGGGCTCATCTTATGTGGCGACGTCGGCGAGTCCGCCGAACATCTCACGCTCGCCTTCCGCATCGCCACGCAGAACTTCAAGACCGTGTGGTGGTGCCCCGGCAACCACGAGCTATACACGATGGGTAGCTCTCCGCGCCCGCACCTCCGCGGCGAGGCCAAGTACCGCAGGTGCGTGGAGCTGGCCAGAGAGCACGGCGTCCTGACCCCCGAAGACGAATTTGCGCTGTGGGATGACGTCCTCGTGTGCCCGGTCTTCACGCTGTACGACTACAGCTTCCGGCCCGCGGGCATCGAGCGCAAGGACGCGCTCAAGTGGGCCGAGGAGTCGGACACGGTGGCCACGGACGAGTTCCTGCTGCACCCGGACCCGCACGCGACGCGCGACGAGTGGTGCCACGCGCTGGTCGAGAAGTTCGCGCGCAAGATCGGGGAGGCGAGGGCGGCGCACCCCGGCGCGAAGACGGTGATCGCGAACCACTGGCCCCTGAGAGAGGACCTCGTGTTCATCCCCCGCGTGCCGCGCTTCAGCCTCTGGTGCGGCACCAAGCTGACCGAGGACTGGCACACCCGCTTCGGCGCCAAGGTCGTGGTCTCCGGCCACCTGCACGTGCCGCGCACGGACTGGAAGGCCGGCGTCCGCTTCGAGGAGTGCAGCCTCGGGTACCCCAAGCAGTGGCAGGACGTGCGCGCCGTCGGCAAGAACGTCAATGACTTGCTCCGCGAGATCCTGCCCGGCCCGCCGCCGCCGCTGAGCGGCGAGGCGGAGTCGAAGTGGAGGCGCTGGGGGTGATGGAGGTTATGAAGAGGATGGTTGGGAGAGAGAGGAGCAGGAATATGAGTAGGAGGAGGGGGAGGAGGAAGGGGATGAGGCGTGTGGCGCATTTTAGGGGTGGGATTGCTACGAAGGAGGCTGCTGAGTTGAGCACAGGCATGGCGTGTGGTCTCGATATTAACGACGGTATGTGATTAGGCATGGGTTATGAGGATAGGTAGGACGGGACGGGACGGGATAGAAATACATGACCGTTTAGATGGATTTAAAGTCGCGACTCGCGAGTCTATTCATACCTGCCTACCTGGTAGGGAACGATTGAGACGGTTGGGGCGATGCTTCGTTAGAATAGAATCGTACAGCCATACATACAGTGAGAGAAGAGTTGGCTCACAGAAACTCTCAAAGCATCAACCAGTTGGTTGGTTTCTCTTCCTATCCTATTTCTTAATTGACCATGCCATCGATAATTAAATGTTCTAACATTCTCTTCAATGAGACACACCTGGGGGCCTTTAGACTTAGCCACTTTGTGTTCCTTAAGAGACCCCATCTGGGTCAGTCAAGTACTATGCGTGAATCACTTAGCTATACAGCGGCTCATTGCAGATAGAATGTGAGTTGTCGATATCTCCTACCTAGATGCGTATATCTTCCCTAAAGTTCCTATTCCCCTTTTAGGAGCCCCACGATAGTACTCCTATAGGAGTAGACCAGTGGGTCTCCTAAGTCTAGTCTCCTGTAGGTCTCCGAAACTTGCAGATCTAGTCGGGAACGCACATCTCGTCTAGCTTAATAGTCTACTTAACCCTAAGAAAATTTTATGTGTCAAGTTCGGATTCGTCCGTACAGCACCGTCCTCCGTGGCGCAATTGGCTAGCGCGTCGTGAGTTCCTTCCCCCATGTCTGACACCGGACACCATCGTGGGTGTTGCTGTTGTTTACTAACTGTATTTGTCAGTGACTGTTAATCAGGAGGTTGACAGTTCAAGCCTGTCCGGGGGAGATGATTCAAGTCTTCGATTACTTTTTGCCCCCGTTGCTGAGGGTAGGTAGTTGTGGGTGTCTTCTGACCTTAGTGTTGGAACCAATAAAAAAAATAGCCCTATATAAGATTAATTACCTACCTAGTTATTTGTTGGCATATTTTTATAAATACAATGATACATAACATGCGGGCTACCTAACATCTGATAACTCATGAGTGATATCTACCTCCTAGTCTGAATAACTTGTTAATTCTAAGCAGGTGTAGATAGTGATACTCCTGACATGCTTTAGAAGTACGTATATAAGTGAGATGATACTAACAAAGATCTGCTTCTTGGAATACGAATTACTCAGCCCTCACCTATTCGTGGACAGAGTTGGCGCATCATGAACGCCTTACTAACCACCCCTGAAAATGCAAGGCAGCTGGATAGTATTCATGATTCGCATCGGAGTACATGTGAAGCTAATATTAGGCATCTCTAAGGGATATCAATGAATAAATGCGCCCTGTCGCCTTGTTTCTATCCCATGGTACTAATTCTTATCGCGGTGGTAGAAGCAAGGGAGCTTCATATACGTGCTTGACGCGTACGACACCTACCTACCGGTAGGCATCATCTAAAGATGCAGTACCAGTATTCTTCGCGACCAATTTTTCCTTCATACCTACCTACTTACCTTATAGTGAACTGGAATGATTTATCAAAACAGGAAAAGGGAGATTACTTTGAGTTACGCACAGCCAACTAGGTAGGTGGTATTAATAAGCCTAAAAAAACTCTGATATAACAGGTTCTACCTTTGTATTGGAATAAATGCGTCCACACAATCTCAGCTGGTTATACACAAGCCACTGACCTTCCCCCAGTGATATTCCAATATATAGAGGCTGCAGCCAAACCAATCCTAAATGTCATAGGTGCATAACGGGCTAATAAAGAGGCGCCCTAAATGAGACCTATTCACCATTCTTGAAAGTCGTTTCTCGCACCGGGGACTCAACTTAGACTAGTGATCTATGCTAGATAGGGTAGTAGACCCCTATCGAAATAGCCAGTAGAATTACCCCTATTCTATTATCCACCATATAACGGTTTACCCTCACCAATAACCTAATCTCGATAACCCTCTTTCAACCCATTACCCGCATCCTTCTAGTAGCTTTCCATGCAGCACCATCACGCTAGCACAACCTAGGGACATCCTCTAGGTTACGCAGACGAAAACGAGACGACGTAACGGATGAGTCAGAGTCGACCAGAGATGCAGCCACCGTCACCGCGGCGCCACACGAGGGAGTTGCAGGGCGCAATCAATCTGAGGCAGCTGGACGTAAATAATTCGACCTGCTTTCTCGGTCTCGCAAGGTTTCAACGAGGCAACACTCAAGTGCCGAATCTAATATGTGCCAAGGGAACATATATCTTGCATGATGTCACCTACGGGTCCCAACTAGCGGAAATTCGTGGTAGATGGGTGGTAGTGTGCGTCGATATCGCGTGTGGGAGCTGACGCCCGCATGGGAAAAGTGCAACTATCACTGCTACGTCGTGTACAGGTAGTCTCGCACGTTGTTTCCAGTAGAACTAGTCACTACTCGTGAGAGATCACCTTCACCTGCCTAGTCCTATCTAGCCGAGGCAGACGAGCGGACATGTCATATATCAGCTACAAGTGGCGTCCTCTCAGATTGAGACCGGTGAGAAGGGACCGTGAGTAGATTACTAAAAGACATGTTATGTCAAGGCTACTCGGCACATGCAAATGGACAATTCTAGAAAGCTAGGGACGAGATATCCGGGCAAGCCTAGAGCGATCTCGTAGGGTCTACGGCACACTTCCCTTGCCACGTCCACACGCAATACACGCCGAAGGATGGAGTAGATGACCATAGTACAGCAGTCAGCGCAAGAGTATGCGAAGAGAGACACTGCGGTATTATCTTATATGTCTGCCTGTCTATCTAACGTAGCAGCAGAGTAGATTAGCGGGCCTCTCCCAACCATGACGAAAACAGATAGATGATTCGAGATCGAGCGCCGGGCCATGCGACCACCCGAGAACACGCATCATCCGCTTACGCTGGTAGGCTGGGATTGGCCGCGAGACTCGGCGAAAATTAAAGACTAAGGAGGGGGAGGAATCAGATCAGAAAAAGCGCCCCCTCCTGCAAGATTGCATGGAGAAATCGAGAGATCGGGTCGAGTTGCTCAGGCCGAAAAGTTAAATGAAACGACAGGTCCCTTTTCTCCTCCTTTCGCGCCGGTCGTGACTAAAGCCAGAGACGACCAGCTCGCCTCGTCAACGCCACCACGCCTTAGGTAATGGATTATCATAGACTTTAACAGGTGAGTAACAAGCTATGCGATCACGAATACATGATATGGAAATTTTAGCTTGTGTAGCTCCTTGCGGTTGTGTGTAGGTAGTGTACTGTATATAAATGGCTCGGGGTTCGTTGGTTGATTGTCTCGGGGCCCATCGGTTGGCTGCATCTTGCCGTGTCTCCCTTGCTTACCTGCTCGCTTCGAGACACAAGAAGGGCGACTCAATGGAGTCCCGTAGCATGCAAGCACTTCACAAGCTAGTAACAGGATCACCGAGGGTCATATTCTGGATTACGGGTCTACGGAAACGCAGCTCCTCACGAACGTGACGAAATCGTCGTAGATGCTATACTCTCGTACGTACTATTACGTGGACATCCCGGTTTCCCCTCAAGCGGGATCAGCCGTGATGAGGCGTCACATGAAGAACCACCTCCGTCACCTAGGCCGCTAGGCTATGCCTATCTATGCAATGAAGACCTTTTGTCTGGCCGAGGGCTAACTACATCGTATAGTCGAAGGATCATTGGAGGAAATATTTTTTTTCTTCAAAAGGACTATTGGCAAACCTCTCAATAAGGCTGAAACGACTGTGCGCGATACAGTGTTGTCAGCAGTCTTACATAATTACCTCGGGTGGTTGCACTGGTTGGAGCAGGACGGGGTCCAGAGCCGGGCAAAATTACCACGATGCATAAGATCGTGATCTGGGATGATCTAGGGGACTGGGAAGGACGGACACCTATATTATATTGGCCTGGGGTTGCAAAAGTGCTTGTACCGTCTACATCTCCCCAGCCTGGTCCCGGATAGCCGATGTGCCATTAAAGGGGTAGCCATGATTACATTACAGTATAGATGCAGAGTAGGTATTGTCATCATTACGAAGTTGCTCGCCATGCTCTAGGACCAAAGGAAGAGATGGCCTATACCGATGCCTGCCAGCTACTTATGAAGCTGGGAGGAAAGATCATTATCGGCGACTATCTTCTAGGGCACGAAGTATGTATATCTCTTACTAAATAGAACCGTATAACCCGATATGCGGAACCGTGTGGTAGCACCCATCTCTAATAAGTGGCCTCGTACCACATATAGTTCCTGAAAATAATAGAAGTGATTTGCAGGAGGTCCCGGACCAGCTGACAACACACGCCGTTCCTCGCTCTCGAACCTCTCAATTTCATGGGAAGTGACAGGTAACAAATCTCCGCCGTCAGACCCTTCGGCTAGGTAGGGAGGACACAACGTCAGAACCAGCCAGCCCTTAACCCTGAGATGTATTGGGAATATGTATCTACCTAAGATATGGGTATGTGTAGGTATGTGTATGGGTAGGTGTAGGTATGTGTATGGGTAGGTGTATGTTATATGTAGGTACATACTAGTGAAGCAAGTTCCGGGGAGCGTCCGCCAGAGATAGGACTATTTGTTTGGCCAGTCTGCCAGTGTGGCTTCGTCTTTGGGACCCTAACCCTAGGCGAAAAGAGGCGATGTCATGGGTGTAGGCAGCGACATTAGGTCGGGTTAGTGAAGTAAGATCCTGCAATGCATCCATCTGACGGCAGGAGAAAAAAGGTCCCGCGATCTTATTCATCGTTTCATTCAAGGACCAGGGCCTCGAAATTGTCTGACCTGTAGTATGGTGGGCTTTGGTGGGTTGCTTGCCATCACCAATCCCTTCACCGGAGTTTGCTGCGCCAATAGGAGCTCGCCAATTCCATTGTCCTGGGTTCTTGGTCTTTTTTCCCCTCGCCGTGATAAGCATGCAGTAGGCAGGGTGGAGCCCTTGGTGATCGCCGGGACCAAGCCACAACGTAGTATTCTGAGTTTCCCGAGCGTCGCATTGGGAGATGTCCTGGAGGTCCCATCGGCGTTTAGGTAAGGGAAGCTCATGTGACATTCCCAGATTCATTTGGTCTTGGCTTGTCGAACTTGGCGGCGTCGAAAGATTGGATACTACATCGTACACGCACTCATCACATACCGCTACCATTACCAGCCACTGCCTACCTACCGACACATGTACGCACGCACCTACCTATGCATTATTCGTCGTAGCCTTATTAGTCGTAGCCCTAACTACTAAAGTTGCCTAATTTGGGCGATAGTAACATATTAGTGCTTCAGCCTTTTCTCATAGACTTCTAACTTTCAAACTTCTATGTAATATAGCAAGCCTACTATCGACAGCGCGGACATGGCTATTGTGCTGTATTGTACGAGACCATCGCATAGCAGACTCTAGTGGACCGTATCTGGGTATTAGTTGTGCGAGCGAGGGATCCAATGATCCTAGGCCACGGAAAAGGTGGTGCCTATCGCAGAACCAGAACAAAATTAAGCCTGTTCCCCTGCGAAAAGAAACCTACAGAAAATGACATGTCATAAAATGCACCCGGGGTCGTATGTATGCATGTATGTAGTTACCTCTACACCTCCGCAGGGATGGTTATTGTTGTTTAGCGGAGCTTTTCTCCACTAGTGGATATGTACTGAGCCACAGAAAATGAATGTGAGGCTACAAGACTTTATACATTTATGGGTAATAGCCTTGTGAAAAGGTATCTTCTCATACAAATATCAGTAGTAAGATACAGGTGGAGTAAAGCTCCGCTAAACAACAATAACCATCCCTGCGGAGGTGTATGCTTGCTATTCGGCTAACCTATGGAATAGGCTACGT